ACCCAATAGGCGAAATGATGTGTAAGTTATTCATATCACAATATTAAGGCAAACACTAAGGCAAAAATTGCAGTGCCGTATAAGTTATTCACATCTGCATATAAGGCATACACTGAGAGATTGCCGATCCGTATAAGTTATTCATATCACGATATTAAGGCATACACTGAGACATTGCCGAGCCGTATAAGTTATTCATATTACGATATAATGCATACACTGACATTGCTGAGCCGTTATTAAGGCATACACTGTACCGAGGTGAAATAAATAATCCATTTTATTATTGAAATGACAAAAAAAATCATATATTTCCCATTGGTAAGACAAAATAAGAAATAGTGTACAGTATTTTACTTTGTAGGTTGTTACTTCTAGATGATAAGGAATTCAAATTTTGTCAGTTAAGTTTTACTGGAAATTGTGGTCTGGAAATAAGTGGTTGTTGTAGATATTGTAAGTACAATTTAATATTGTTTTATAATAAGATTTCAGAGAATTATTGTATATAGCACTTATGGAAATAATTTTTGGATTGTTATGTAAAGTTAAGTTTTTCAAAATTTTTTAATAATTTTCAATTAATTACAACAAGAGTAGTAAACAAGCAAATTTCAGACAAACCTGTAGATCATGATTGATTTGTAGCAAACGGATTGATGTTTACCTTAATAATAACAACTTACTTCAATCAATCCAGTATGTTTATGGAGGACGCACGTTTCGACCTTTAGGTCATCTTCTGCTCCGCTTTTACACTAGGTTGTTACGTACTTAGTTGCATTGTTGGTGTAGCAACCGCGTCAAATAATTTACATTGTGAAACATAGTCAGACCACGTAAACATAAAAACACAAAACACGACACTGACGAAGACATTTAATAAAACTATCACCGTGCGCACGGCTGAACGGGCGAATAATGGTATCATATTTTGATATTTTGATTTAATATTTGTTCCTGGCGTTCTTTCCGCAGTAACTTTCCGCAGTGTGAGGGCAACGGCTGGGCGCACTCCATCAGCCAATCCCTGCCTCTGAGACCGGAAGGTATGGTTATCTAGAGTGTGGGGGGTTCTCCCTGGAACCTCAATTGAGCAAAGGGTGTCGCCACCTTTGGTGGATAGGTTCATCCGGGTGGGACCCACTTCTATTCCTGCCTCCTTTAGGGAAACCCTGATGGCCCTGGCAGTGATGTTGGGCTTGATGGGCAAACGAAGTAGATCGGGTGCTGGGTTCAAGCCCGCTGGGGGTGTTCAGGGATCTATCGCCTTGGTCACCTCTGGTTTCCCAGCAACTGGGTAAGGCCTCAATCGGGTAGTGGTGTAAATAGGTGGTTGGGGTTCCCCCCATCAGCTTGCTGGTGGCCCCCTTCTTCCTGGCTTTGATGGCGGGTTCTGCCTGTCAGGGATTGGATAGGTCCCGAGTGTTGCTTGCACTAAATGCCATCAGCTTGCTGGTGGCCCCCTTCTTCCTGGCTTTGATGGCGGGTTCTGCCTGTCAGCGATTGGATAGGTCTCGAGTGTTGCTTGCACTAAATGCGTCAGGCCATTCCACTATGGTCTTCTGGGTTTCGTACCTGGGGGAACCCAGGTGGAGTGACGCTTAAACAAGTAGCCGGTATCCCTGGTTAGAATTGAGGGGCAACCCTCTCTCCGAAGGGTTGCTTCAGCAGCCGGTGAGCCTGATGACCTTAAGTCATCCTCCCATGGTGTGACAAAGGTCGGTGCGTATGCTTCGGCCTACATCATGGGGCCCGTGTATGTTTAATTATAGGTACCGGGTTTGCAGTCCCTGGCTCTTATGACAAAACGAAATGGAAATGGAAATGGTAGTAGATGTGAGATGAATTAATAAAACAAAATAGGCCAAAATATATGTCACACTCAAACTCCGAATTCGGACAATGTCCGCAATTTTTACCCACTTTGAGATGTGGGCAGCGTGTAATACCCACGTCACGGAATGAGCATTTTATTCGGACATTGGCCGAATCAAAATGTCCAGACCGCGTTGTGGGTAAACTGATTTACTCAAATATCGAAGTTCAAACGTTCTTCAGCGATTGAGCAAATCCAAAATACCCACAACCCGGTGTGAACAAAAGTAATTGTCCACGTCGGGTTGTGGGTATTTCTATCATGCGCAAACGCCGAATTATCGTTTTCACAGGACATCCATAATGAAGACCTAAATAGAGAGCGGTTAGTGTACCTTTTTGTACACTCTTTGCCCAAGAAAATTTGCTATTAATACAAACATGGGAAAACTGTGTAACTTCCTTAAACATCCAGACACAAAAAAATTCCAGAACACGGAAAGAAAATTAAACTCAGTTTCAGTCGGAGACAACAAAATGGGCAGCATTCCTGATGTTGACCGGGGACCCTTGGTACTAAACACGGAATCCTGGAGAAATAGTTCTCAAGAAACCAATTCCAGGTGACACCAAATAAATTTATTTGCACCGAGGATGTAGACCTACCTGATGAGCAAGTAAACAAGCAAAGAAGCAATCTGATTCCAATAAAGGTTTTATCAGATGTGGTTGCAAGAGGAACTGTTTAGGTAAATCGTAAAAATGAATTAGGTTATACATAAAATGCAATCCTATATGACATTGCAGTACGTACTTTGCCAACAGCATACATTTTATTCTACCTAGTGATTGTGGATTTCATGTCGATTTTGTGTATGCGGTAGTTTATTGTCTATTGGCGTTTGTGCAAACTAGAAATACCCACTTCCTGACGACGACAATTACATTTGGTCGCATCGCGTTGTGGTTAATTTTGCTGTGCTCAATCGCCGAAGAACGTTTTGACTTCAGCATTTGAGTAAACTAGTTTACCCACAACGTGGTCTGGGCATTTCGCTTCGGCCAATGTCCGAAAAGATATGCTCAATCCGTGACGTGGGTATTTTACACTGTCCACATTGCGAAGTGGGTAAACATTTCGGACATTGTCCGAATTCGGAGTTTGAGCGTAACATACTGTACATATATTCTTCAAATTTTCCAAAATTCATACAAAACTCATTCACAAATTAAATACTCTTGTACTTCATTTAAATGCCGGACTATGTTTCAAAGTAATAAAATTATAAAGATCTTACTTTAATTCTGAGATACTGGCTCAAGTGGTTTGAACTGGCAAAAGTCCCAAAAGGTACTTGAATTGACTATAACTGGCAGAAGTCCCAAAAGGTACTTGAAGACGAAAAAGGTACTAGAACTAGCAGTGGTTGATTTCTGTCTGATAACATCAAACAAAGGCGATAAATTCTATTCTCTACAAATTCTAATAATTAAAAGTGGATTTAAGATCCTTACAATGCTTTGTGAAAATTGTGCTCCTCAAGAACAAAGCTCTACAGGTTTAATAATAACAACTTACGTCAATCAATCCAGTATGTTTATGGAGGACGCACGTTTCGACCTTTAGGTCATCTTCTGCTCCGCTTTTACACTAGGTTGTTACGTACTTAGTTGCATTGTTGGTGTAGCAACCGCATCAAATAATTTACATTGTGAAACATAGTCAGACCACGTAAACATAAAAACACAAAACACGACACTGACGAAGACGAAAACATTTAATAAAACTATCACCGTGCGCACGGCTGAACGGGCTTGGGACTGCGGCGGCACTGACTTGTCCAGGCACCCTGCTTTGGACTTTGAACAAGACGTCACTCACTCCTTCTTGTATTATCCGTCAGTCGAATAATGGTATCATATACAGGATTGGCGTCTGATTGAATTTTTTCATTTAAAATATTTTTGTTTAGCTTGAAGTCTTTGTAAAGATATTCTGTAAAGAGCTTGAGAATATTAGCAGAACCCCAGGAACAAATATTAAATCAAAATATGCAGAGCACTTAAGTGAACTGGGACACACTTATACAAATATAAGTAGTAACTTGGAAATCCTAGCGAGGGAAAAGAAAGGACAGCGGCTTGACAGAATAGAGGAAATGGCCATATACAAAGACTTCAAGCTAAACAAAAATATTTTAAATGAAAAAATTTAATTTAAATTCTCACTTTGGACTCTCACTTTGGGTAAACCCAAAGAGGCTGGCTTACCCAGTCGTCCATAACTATGACCTACTTGAAATGCCGATTCCGACACCGAGCAGTTACCTCCCCTTTGGGGGCTAAACTTGACCCTTTTTCACCTCCCAGGACGAGACTACTTCCAAAGCCGAGGATATGCCTCACAAAATGTCAGTCGTACACAACAGGCAGGACGAGCCCGAAGAACTCAAGTCACAACCACAGCCACAGGCAGGTGGGAGACCGAAGTCTCGCAGAGCTGAACACCCCACCACCCTGAATGGAGGAAATGTCACTGGGGACTCTCACTTTGGGTACAACCCAAAGAGGCTGGCTTGCCCAGTGGTCCATAACTGTGGCCTACCTGAAGTGCCGGTTCAAACACCGGGCAATTACCTCCCCTCTGGGGTGGCAAGAGCTAGGGTCCGCGTGGTCGCTAGGCCACGTACCCACGCAAGCGTGAGCCCCTTCAGGTTTTTTTAACTGAACCTAGGTTTATGACTGACAAAATCACAATTGTGCAGAATTTCTATTTTAGTTTTTGTATGTAAAAATGCATAACTTCTTAACCATAATATTAATTTATTAATCAAATTATCCGAATCCAAACCTCTAATTATCTGATCCGAGCCTTAATGATCCAAACCGAATCCAATCCAAACTGAAATTTCATCATCCGCGCACCTCTAGTTTAAAGATTTTATCTTTAAATCTCAGCTTTGAGACTTATGATATTTCCTGAAATATTGGTTTTGGACGTCAAGAGACTAGGTTTATAGTCTTGGTTATTATGAAATACCCCTGATTTTAAAATACACAATAGGCTTTGACATTTCTCTAAATTGAGTTACAAAATAAGGTTTTAATAAGGGAAGGGGGGTGTTATTTGTGAATACATGGAAGATTACAAAAAAGTGGAGATAGCAAAAATGCATACATACCTTTTTATACAATGGCAAAAGTCACTTGGATCAAATGTTTCTAAACGTAATCAAACCAACACGAAACAGCAAGCAACACTTGAACTTGATTAAATTGTACCTTCATCATCGAATGTAGCGAGAGTAAGTTTACTTAGTTTGTTACCAAGACAGGATTGAGGAAGTTCTCTGTGAGCTCCAGCTACATTGTTCAGAGGCATCTGAGTATCTAGAATCACATCAGTTAACTCAGAAAGTTAATTGAAAGTTTAATTTGTACTATCAATTTTTTAATAAATGTCTTGCTTTGTTCTTGAGGAGCACATTTTCACAAAGCATTGTAAGGATCTTAAATCCACCAAACCACCGACCTTTTTTTAAAAAATTTAATAAAAATATTCCATCTTGCCTGTTGAATAATAATTTTAACTATAGAACAGAATCTAATGCACCAATATCTGGAAACTACAAAAGGTTTTTGATCAAAAAAATTATCTACTTCCTTGAACAATTGTGATTCAATGTACAGGGTGTTGCAGAAAACCTATCTATTTTCTACAGTGCACTGTTAACGACAGGTTATCTGAGGGTTGTGGGGGTTGGCTAATTGGAAAGCCTACACAATGCCATTATCTGTAGTCATAAAAGAGTGGTCATCTCAGCAACGTGCGTTTGTCATAAAGTCTTTTTTATCAAATTTCCCATATAGGGAATAAGCTATTACAGTAGTACTCATGGTAAGACCTGGAGCCGGTATGGATTTACTTTTTTGTTTTGAGGTCCCTAGAGGCTAAAAACACCTTCGTGTTTAAATTCATATATATACAGTATATGTGTCCGTTAGCGTAATAACTCGAACAAAAATTATCCGATTTTGATTAAATTTGGTACAAACGTGTAAACCTACATTTATTCGAACAAGTTCGCGAACCAGCATGATCGGACTATGGGAACGGTTGTTTATGGGGTAAAAATTGGTTTTCCCCATTTTTGACCGTAAAAACAAAACATTTTGCAAATTATTTCCAAACTCTATTGCAGAGCTTAAAAAAACAAATAATTTAGCATATTGAAGCGTTACTATGCGCCTAAAGGTTACAGAGAAAATTTCAACATATCGTAAATTTAAAATTCCCATGTTATTCTTATGAAGAATAAGTAAACTGTAAAATTTTAACAGATTATTTCAAATTTATCAGAGGGAATACAAATTATTAATATCTCATCAAAATTTGTGTATCCAAACGGTCAAACATATTCAAAGCAGGCGCTTGTTTCCACGTGGGCCTACAAAGACTGTTTTCCACAGGAGCACAAACTCTCTCAAAAGTGTCAGAGGAAGACATAGTCAAACTGTGTCCAGTCGCCTAGCTTCTCTTCAATGAGTGAATTTCCACCCTTATGTCCAATGACGTCAACACCAAATGACAACTGCAGAAGGAATTCCAGCTTGAGGAAAATGGCTCCTGATGGCCCAGAGTGCAGTGAAAGTGTAAAAGAAGTGGTCTCTGGTTTTTTATTGGAGGATCCAATACAGGTGATGATAACATGATTTGTAATGGCGACTCCCGCTCCCACTTTAAACCCAACAGTAATAATGATCTGAACAAAAACGTACAAACAGAAAAAAATTTAATAAAAATATTCCATCAAAATATTCAGCACTTACCTTCAAGGACCGAACCTTTATTAGTGACTATAAATGAATTAACTCCTCATATCGTAATCTTAACAGAACACGATATGAAAGAAAATGAATTTAACAGACACAATATACAAGATTATGATGTGAACAATTTTTATTGTAGAGAAACATGTTTCAAGGGTGGCGTCGGTATGCTTTCCCTGAAGGGTTTGAAGTGGAAGCGGGTGGATGTTCCAAATTGGTTGTCTGGTAGTTTACTTCAAGATAAGCAATTCGAATTTTGTGCCTGTAGCTATATACTTAACGGATTTAAAATTTTGGCAATTGGAGTGTAGAGGTCACCTAGCTCATATTGTTAAATATTTTTAGATAGATTAAGCATGTTAATTTCCCACTTTTCCAAAAGGTTTGTTAACATAATTTTAGGAGGGGATATAAACATTGATGTTCTAAAAAAATAACCCTAATCATAAATCACTAAAAGTTCATAAAATGAGGTATCTGGTCAATTACCCAACTAGAGTTACTGAGGAATCTGAATCAGCAATTGATAACTTTATAATTAAAAACTGTCATGATTGCAAGGTGACTGTTGAGGGAATTGTAACTTGTCTATCAGATCATGATGGGCAATTGCTCCTTATAAAAAATAAAAACCTAAATAATACAAAAGAGGTTCAATCAACTATAAAACGTACAACTTGTAACTTTAATATTCAAAATTTGAATTTATTTAGTCAATAAAGTTTGCTAATTTAACAGTTTGCTACAAACTTGCTAACTTGGTTGAAATTCATTTTAATATAAACGCCTGTAATACTTAGCAATTGCTCGAATTCGAGCAACAGGGACACTAGTTTATTTAAAAACCTCTTGGAAACTGAGATTTGGGAGAGTGTTTACATGGCTCCAGTTGAAAGAAAATATGATGACTTTTATAGTACATTTAAGCATTTTTTTGACATTTCGTTTCCCAAAATTACTGTAACAGAAAAGAAACGTAAACAAAATTGGATCTTAGAAGACCTGAAAAATGAAAAAAAAGAACTAGGTACTACGATTGGCCTTAAAACTTCGTGGAAACAAAAATCCTGCCTTGAAATACAAGTTGAAACAAAACAAACTGAAATATAGGGCAAAATTAGTCAGAGCTAAAACAAATTATTTTGAAAATAAAATACAAAAATCAGCCAATATACAAAAAACAGTATGGCAGATTATAAATTCTGAAGTTGGGAAAGGAAAGGGAACAAGAAATACAAATATTACTTTGTAGCTTAAGTGATCCTAGAACTATTAAATATTTTACTAATGTTGATCAGGATGTCAGAGGCAACCAATGTGAGAGCAACATTTAAAATCAAAGTCTTATTGAAAATGAGCAATGTATTAAAAGAGGTTTTGATTTTAAATTTATTGATGCGGGGGAGGTGGAAAAAGTAATTAACTCTTTAAAAAACAAAAATTCTGTTGGACACGATGATGTCCCTATTAAAGTTATAAAGCATGCCAAAAAATGTCTGAGCCATATTTTTTAAGTAATTTAATAAATTCATCTTTTCTATCAGGAATTTTTCCAAATCAATTAAAAAAAATCAAAAATAATACCAATTTATAAGAAAGACGACCTAGAAACTGTGTCAAATTACCATACTATTTCTCTCCTACCAGTAATATAAAAAATTTATGAAAAAATTGTCAACAGTCAGTTATTAAATTATTTAGAAGAATTTAAACTATTAAACAATACTCAGCATGGATTTAGGCCTGAAAAATCTGTAATTACAGCAGCAGTGTCATTCATAGAATCTATAATTGAATCGGTTGATAAAGGGGAGTTCACAATTGGAATTTTCATGGACCTAACTAAGGCATTTGATAGTGTCAACCACTGATAGATAAATTACTCATTTTAGGGGTTACAAAAAAATCAATAAAATGGTTTCAGTCATACCTAAATAATCGTTGTCAGTTTGTAGAAATCACACATAATCATGATAACAGAATTACAACATTTTCTTCTGAAACTGAAAGGGTTAAATGTGGGGTACCCCAAGGGTCAGTAGAGAAAGCGTTCTATTCCCTGGAAGAGTATTTTTCCACCTCCCCTCTTAGTGGTAGTAATTAATTCAGTTTTGATTATTTTCATTTCCTGGTTCTTGGTTTTAATGTCCATAATGACCTCTCCATCAACCTAATAGGAAGAATGCACGGAACTGCCACTGAGTTGCAATGACTGAATCATTACTTTTTAAAAACGACTTGATGATAAAATGCACGTTGCTCAGACAACCACTCTTCTGTGACTACAGATAATGGCATTGTGTAGGCTTTCCAAAGAGCCAACCCCCACCACTCTCAGACGCTGAACAGTGCACTGCAGAAAATAGATTGGTTTTTTTGCCACACCCAGTATAACTCAATGTGGTGCACTCGCTTAGCAATGCAAAATATTTGATGAAAAAGAGCCCCAAACAAAGAATTAGTGATGAGTCGGTTGCTGATCCAATCGGTTTGGTTTTGGTAAGGTTTTTATAAAATGCAGTTGTCAGTTTTTAGGTTTCCTCCCCTTAAATAACCTGTTGGAATATAATTTTATCTCTACTTGTGCATATAGTACACATATTTAAAATTCTAACTTGTGCTTCATGTGGAGGCTATGATATTTGAAGTTAGGTTTAGGTTTGTCAACATACTCTAATATCATCTCATCTTACTAATATTATAAATCTGAAAGTTTGTGTGTGTGTTGCTCAATCACGCATAAACTACTGGACGGATTGGGCTGAAATTTGGCATGATGATAGCTCACATTCCCGATTAACATTAAAGCATATTCTTATCTCAAAAATCCTTTTGGGCTCCGCCCCAGTGGCTCTGTAGTTCCCCATGTTAACCTTATGATTTTTCATATTTAAAAGGAATTAATGAATCTTGACAGCTGTTTCAATTAAACAAGTTGGTTCTGTTCTATGATGTTCAATAGCATCAAAGTTACAAGGATTACCAACAGGGTGCAGCACTATTATTTTTTTTTAATTTATGACTACAGCTAATTTCCAACCAAAAGGTGAGTGAGCGTAGCGAACGAACTTCAACCAGGACGTGAATGAGCCATGCGAATACTTATGAAGTTAAACGGGGCAAAGCCCGCGGAAACAGCTAGTCTATATATAAAGCCAAAAGTACCCATGAACTTTTGAGAAAACTACATGTCACACCCCCATAAACCATATACTTAAAATTTTCGTCATGACGAGAAACCTTGCAGAACTAATAACCTATTTAGTAATAAATCGTGAACACTCACCGGCAACAACACAAACAATGGCGAATAGGCCTACAAGACAGCTGACAGACTGTAGCAGTAATGACTCACTTCCGTCGTCTTCATGCGAGTATACAGAAATAACCCTGTGTGCAGAGCTGCCACTCTCTAAATCTATATTTCTTCCTCTTCAAAATGACATACTATATGACTAGTAATAATAAATTACACTGTATGTAATTCGTATTTTCCATATCGTCACCTGACGACCATTGGCCATTTGTTAAAAATTTCAAAAACAGCTGTTAAAATCGTACCGGTTGTGCAATCAATATTTTGTTCTAAATATCACTACCACAATGAAGATAAAATCAATGGCTATCCAGTGGTACCACCCGCAACATCCCAAGACGAAAATTACCCGAGCAGGGTAATGCCAAACAAGACGTATTTTGCCAGTTCCCAAGTGTCGGCTGCAAAAGTCGTGCCGCGCCAAAAATTCATTTGATTTCTAATCGTCGTGACATTGTTATATACCTGCTACAGGGTTTGTTTATGTAATAAAATGAAAGTTCAGAATGTGATCTTTCGAATGGTATATATATTATTCTCATCTGAGTTGATTATAAGTGTTTTTTTTTCCGTTAAAAAAATTTCGGCCCATATCGTCATCAGACGACTTTGGCCATTCTAAGCATCAACGTCATATCGTCACCAGACGACTATTGGCCACTGCTAGGGTTAATCCCCATACCTACAAAAAACAACTATCTAAACTCATATAGGTTAGACCAGCGTAAACCAAATGTTCAACAAACAACCATCGTCATTCGGCAGAGCTAGCAAGAGGACTACTTAAGACTTTCACTTTCCTACAACAGTCAACAATACATCTCGATAACGAAACAGTAAGTTGAAATAAAGCATTGAATGAATCTATCAAATTGCAATAGTTGATAGTCAACAAAGGAGTCTCGTGACTAGTATAACAATGGCAGACGATTCTTGAAGATATTATAAGGTACAGTATCAGATTTAGTTTGAACTGCCATACATTTTATACCAAAATATATAAATAAAAAAATATTTTATACTAAACTATAGAAATAAAACAAATAAAAATAACCTATTATATCATCATATTTTTTCACATTAATCGGTATTGGTGTTAAGTTTTACAAACCGATAAGTTACTATAAGGAACATCGATGCATCTGAATGACGCAATCTCATTGGGTCTTGGCAGAAAGAAAAGATCAGTTGATCAGTTCGACTTTAAACTCAGTGTTGCCAGATGGACGATAATTTTTGTACTTTTACAACTGTGGTATTGGCGTAAACAAACTATAAGTATAATTTTCTAATGAGTTTACATTAACATGATTTAAATTAGTCAAACTATTAATTTTTTTTACGAAATAAAAGCTATAGCAGTTTTATGATAACTTTGCCAACATTCAATGGTGTAATGATAAATATGGCAACGTCAGCCCTGCAAAACAGCTGTTTGATGGGAAAACAAAGCAGAAGCAGACTGACTAGAGAGAGAGAGAGAGAGATAGAGAGAGAGAGAGAGAGAGCAGATATGTTGACAGCTGGCGTAACAACAAAACAATGGATTGGAGTGAAGTTATGTCAACGTCAGTTTTGAATGTTTTTACTTTGAAGTGAATTTGTAACTTTAAATAAAATTGATTTTGTTTGTGGAAGTTTAATAGAAAGTAAAATAAACATATTCTGTTTGTGATTTTGATTGTGCAATTTGCAATCTGGTGGCAGAAACATGACAACTGCAGTTTGAATTGTAACTTAACCTAGGAAGATGTTAGTTTATTAAAGAAAGGCCAAATAGGCTATACAATGTGGGATTTTATTTCGTTTTTTGCCCTACTACGTTTTTGTTTGATATTTTCAGTCAGTCTGTCAGAGACGAGTGACTTGATCATTTTTATAAATGTACTGAGTGAAGAGGATAGCCCTAGTAACCATAACCTTCAAACTTAGATAGGCAGATGAAGTGCTTATCCAAGTGATTATTTTAAAATACCTAATTGCATATTGATGTTTTTAACTTATGGTACAATATGTAGTTTGATATTAGTTTTCTGTTTTATAAATAAAATTATTTTTATAAATTCTGTTTCTTATTTGCAGGTTGATTATCATGTTAGTGAGGAAGAATTTAAGGCAAGAAAAAATAAAACACACAATTAAAAGTTATGTGTAGGCCTAAATTTAATGCTGCAGCCAACAAGTAATCTAGGCCAAATTTTTTACTAGGCCTAAGGTAAGAGGTAAGTTTACTAATAATTAGTGACCATATAACTTAGAAAATTTGGTATACTTAAACTACCTACTTATTTAGGCCTAGGCAGGGTTTAGGCTAGAATGAAATTTGTTTCAGCAAAATGCTGTAAACTCAAGTTAACTGTAGAAAAAATATTATTCAATAACTTAAGCATTTATAACAAAAAATTCCAGTAGGCTAATATTACATTTGTCTGAACATTAGGATACATCTTTCAATTTTATTTGTAGAAAATTTGCCATAGGCCTAGCCTGCAAAACAATGTAGCATTTTGAAGTTGTGAATAGCAAGATGCTAAAAGTACTACCGCAGCTTAAACCCTGGGCCTAGGCCTACTTAACGCGCAACTACTCGACTCGACTCAATACTCGAGTTTTTACTCAAATAAAAAACTCGACTCGACTCGAATTGAAAAATCGCTACTCGCCCACCCCTACCAATCAATAGTTTTATTAATACTTATGAACTCAAATGGGGTGAAGCCTGTGGGTAACAGCTAGTTATGGTAACTAACTATACAATTCACTATTATATTATTTAAAAAATTCAAGGTTACAACAGAAGTTTATACTAACAAATAATAATAATATAATACAACTCACCTTTGGCTCACTAGGGGCTGCCCCCAGTCCCCCTTTTAAATGTATCCAAAATTATAATTATGTATACAAAACTATATGTGTCCATATACAAGACTATCTGTATCCAGATAGTCTTGTAAATGGACACAGACAGTCTTCTATAATATATGGACTCAGACAGTTTTGTGGACACAGATAGTCTTTGACATTGCCTAGCCATATGAGTTATTTGAAAAACCCGTCCTTGAAGCGGAAAAAAAACGTATCTGGATTCTGGACTGGATTTGGATCCGAAGATCCGGAAACTACCCCTGGAAGACCTTAAAGTTCCATATGAGGAAATAAATAGCTCCAGATAACCAAATACATCATGACCTACTTCTACATTTGATAATTTGCGAGTTGAAGTACTGACCATCACTATCAGTGGCAGTATCATATACTGGTGGTCTGTCAGTCTCATCAGTTGCAGGCTGTTTGGTTGTCACTGAAGTTTTCTTTTTGATGTCCTCAACAAATCCTGAGATCAAAGCGTCCATCATCACAGCCTAAAATATTAGAACATTTAATTTCCACAATTAGGATTACATTTTAAATTGCTTTATTTTGGTTGGTGTTTTATATCTTGTTTCAAAATTGTTGGATAGTAGGTTTACGTACACTGATGTTTAAAACTGTAAGCATGGTGTTTTGTTGTTAAAACTAGCTGTGTGCCCGTTCTATGGACGGGGATCTTTTGGTGAGTTGAAAGGTATATTCAGATCAGCAGTTGGGTTCCATATCAAGTGTGCATTTTTTAGATATGCAGGCAAAACTATTATAGGAATACTCATAACCATCGCAAACACAATATCTGACAGTTTCAGCCCAAAACCAAATGCTTCACAATTAAATGTCACCCGGGTTTAAATCTGTTAAGTTCTATACAGTGAGCAATCTCAAAACATAATAAGCCGTTTAGAAGACACTATTCAGTTTTATCAAGAAATATTATTAGAAAAAGAAAAATACATTGAAATTAAAAACAGTTACATAAATGAACAACTTGTTTCCCTTGAAGTAATGGAGAGTGCTTGGAAAATCGGAAAACAAGAGTTAGAAAGTCTTAGAAAAATAACAAAGCTACAAGAGTTGGAGCTAAATCAGCTGAAAATTTTTTATCAGGCTGGAGAAACAACAAATACACTTAGTACCTTAGGAGGAGTTCCCACAAGCAACTCTTTTGATGTGCTGGAATGTCAGGAGATGTCCATCTTGGAAGACTGTGGAAGGGATGTACTGGGAATTTGTCAGTCTGAAGAAGGAAAAACAAGTAAACACAACAAAAGAAGATCAAATCAACAAAATCCCAACTCACAAAAATTAAATGCTGCATTAAAAAAAGGACAATAAGTTTCGACCTAGGGTAGCTATTGAAGCTGATAGCCAAGGCTAGGAACCAGCTTATAATTTAATTTTTTAAACAGTAGTAAGTTCAACATTCAAGATTTTTGGACATGTGCAAAATGGAGCACCTCTTAAAGCCATCACTGGAGCAACTTCAGCAAACACTGCATATAAAGCGTTTAAAAACAAAGACTATTAGACTACATTGTTTGGATTGGTGGGACAAACAATATACAACCGAACACATCTCCTGATCAACTTGTAGCAGCCTTGGAGAAGGAAGCCATAAATTACAGCCATACAAATCTAGTCATTGCTACCATTCGATTAAGGTATGATCTTGAAAATAAATCAAAGGAGAACTTTATTATTGATAGTATAAATCACTCTACCAGATGTAAGATTAAAAGATACTCTCACTTAAAACTTCTGGACCTGCACCTCTATCTTGAAAGGCGACATCATACTTCTCACGGACTTCATATTAATAGATCGGAAACGGTGTGGTTGCGCTCTTGTTGAAGGAGATTATATGCTCAAGTGAAACAATTGATAGACATGGCTACAAACACCCAGCCAGGAAGAATAATTGCCAAAATAAATCTTCTCATCTCAGCATGCAGGCTCCATATGAAGAACCAAAAGTTATGCCTGAACATCGGCTCTACAGTGAGGCAGCAGTTCAACAGAGTGATCCACTGCTTTCCACATCCGAACTAGAGACAACTATACACTGCCTCAACACCAACAACCTGAGCCATGATCTTAAAAAAAACTTCACGTCAGCAACCCAAGTATATGTAACTTAGCTTTAAATAAACGTGTAAATAAGCCAAAACAATTAAAAAATATAAATTGTAATGTAAATAAAAAAAAAATTCTAAAGAAATGCTTATCAACTCACTTAAATATTCAGGGATCAAGTTTAAGTAAATTTGTTGTCTTAAAAGTTGTTTTAGATCATTTAAAACTTGAACCAGAAATTGTTTGTTTGTCAGAACATTGGATGGATACAAATGATGTTCACTTGCCTAACTGTTTTTCCTCCTATAAGCTAGCCTCAGTTTACCACAGAAATGTAAAAAGTAGGGGAGGGGTATGTATTTTTACAAAAAATAATACCACTTTTAAAGAAAGGAAAGATATTGATTCTATGGGAATTGAAGAAGTTTTTGAATGCACTGCTATTGAAACTGAGTAATGAAAAGTCAACCAAAACAATATACATTGTAATTTACAGAACTCCGAATGTTTAAAACCAAAAGATTTTTTTCTCATGCTTTGAAAAACTATATGAGCACCTTGAGGCAGAACAACAGTTGTGTCCAATATACATAAGTGGGGATTTTTTTTTAAGCGGGGATAGACATGCAAATTGATGATGAAAAATGTGTTAGGTTTAAAACTTTGTTTCAGTCTTTTGGGTACAATGCCATGATCAATGAGTATACTCGAATAACACCAACTACAGCCACTTGTATTGATAACGTAATTTCAAATGTATAAATAGTATGGATAAGGTTTGTGAAGTAGTGGACTTTGGGAGATCTGACCACTTAGGTCAGGTAATTTGTCAAAGAAATGAAAGGCCTAACCAATGTAAAAAAACTTGTTGAAGCGGGTCATAAAGAAGGAAAACGTTCTTGGTATGTTAAACGGTCTGATTGAAGAGAACTGGACTAATTGCATGTCAAACCTTAGTTCTAATGATAGTTTCAATAATTTCTTTGGAATATTCTATGATTCTTTTTTAAATAATTGCCGAATTAAACAGAAATCTCTGTCAAAAAAGGGGAGAAATTATCAATGGGTAACAACAGGTATTAGAATATCCAGTAAAAGAAAATGGGAGCTTTATAAAATTTCTAGAAATAATACAAATCCTGTTTTCTTAGAATACTTTAAAAATTACAAGAAGGTTTTGAAGAAAGTAGTTTGGGCAGCCAAAATGAGGTACAACCTAAATTTGTTAGAGAATAGTGATAATGTAGGTAAAACAACATGGAGCATTGTAAAGAGAGAAATCGGTACACATTGAAAAACAGAACCTTGTCTAGGAATCAAAAATAAATAGGTGAACCCATGTGAATTCGCATGAATAATAAATTAGGATATTATAGCAACGTCGTTAGAAGTTGCATTGTTGTATCGGCGTTGGTCTTGAGCTCGATCGTTGGCTATATACAATTATACAAGCTAAGGTCTTTTTGCTGTTCAGTAGGAGTATTTTGCAAGAAAGAGCTCATCATGCTGAAAACTTGCGCGTATGGATTAATATCAACCAAATGTTGAGTCAAAATGTGCATGAGTTCAGTACTGCAAGAGCCATTAGCTTTGTTTAGCATTCTTTCTCGAACAGCAGTTTCGACGTCCGTAGATATAAGCTTGGGCATATGTGGGATGCTCCCCTTCTGACGGTTGAAAGGTGCCAATTAAGTGATAAATTGTGTCGTACACCTTATACATGAAAGGCCCTCCATCGTTATGTTCTTTAATTTTAGCTCGAGTGCTGACCATTGCAAGCGCAGAGTTGTACGATCTATGTTCTCTTTGTAGTTTCTCCTCAAATGATTTGCTCCATTAAGTTACTTTATGGCAGCAGGAAGAAAATCCTTCGCCTCGTCCTCTTTGTTCTTCTTTAAAATGTAGCGCACCACATTTGTGACATTTTAATGCCATCTCGCCAAGTGAATGCTGCTGAATTCTTGTATTTGTCAGTGTAATTTTGTAAGCAAACGTTGCCACTAACTATTCCAGCTCCTCGTCCTTACGTTTGCTTGCCGTATGTTGACTCGCCATGTCCGACCGGCAATATTTCTTTGTCATCGGGTCCTTGGCATGTTTAAACAAAAATATAATGTAAAACTTTTCTCCCGTCGTGTCCTATAGGTAACATTTCTTTGCCAGGTTTCTAATTACTTATAAAAACATGCAAACTGTTTACATTTCAAAACCAAACAAAACAACTGGGATTTAATTTTTATGTGAACTAATGTATTGACATCTGTTTCAGAATGTAATAATATTCAAATCAATCACAATTTTATCCTTATGGAAGGAACTTTGAGGGCAGCCCACGCCCTTAAAAAGATATATTTCAAAAAATCTAAAGCCAGTTTGCACATCTACACACCTAGGCGAACATTTTGGTATATAATATGTGGGGTTAAATTTTAAAACAAAAAAGCCTTATTGTTCACAAAGTTTCATGTCGCGTATTGAATATATAGATGGGGAGGTTATTGACGTTACTATAAAAGTAGCTGATTGCATGAACCATCACTTCATTGGTGTAGCAAATAAATTTCAGTCCCAGGTTTCGGTGGCAGATTCAATCGCCAAAGCAAAAATGGCACCTTTAAATGTCCCACATGCATTTGAATCCAAGATTGTCTCTGAATCCGATGTTATCTCTTGTATCAATCGATTAAAGAATAAGAGTTCAACTGGTTGGGATGAAATTCCAACAAATGTAACAAAATCATTGGCTTCTTCAATTATAAAACCACTCACTCATTCTATCAACATCTGCTGACAGGAGTCTTCCCTGACAAATTGAAGTATGCTCAAATTATAGATATAGCCTATTTAAAAAGGGGGACTCTGAAGAAATTCCAAACTACCGACCAGTGGCTCTCTTACCTGTGTTTTCAAAAATATTTGAGGAGGTTGTTCTCTCACAAATTGTTCAAACAATTTATTGAACAAGAATCAATTTGGTTTTCGGAGAGAGAGAGAGAGAAGCACGTCTGATGCAATAGTCGATCTAGTTTCTGAGACAGTGGAGGCCTTGGACAGGTCGCAGAGAACCTTTGGTGTTTTCTGTGATTTGTCTAAGGCCTTTGATTGTGTAAGGCATGACATTCACTTGGACACACACTTGGAGAAATTGAGATTGTATGGGATTGTCAAAGATAAATCCGGTGTCAAACATTTTTCTGAATGGAGCTCAGTAACCCATGGTGTTCCGCAGGGATCAAAATTGGGGCTTCTTCTGTTCATCCTCTACATCAATGGCTTGTCTTTTTCACTTTCTTCCAAAATTATTCAATTCGCTGATGACACAACAATGCTAGTAAGAGCACCTTCAATTTTTTCTGCAACTAAGATTGCATCCCGAGATTTAGATTCCATGATAACTTGATTTGCACATCTAAACTGTTTCAAAACTCATCTTCTTCATTTCCCTATTTCCATAATCCGCAACTGAAGGCAGGTGAGTTAACAATCAAACTAAAATCAGGTGATTCCATAAAATCTTCTACAAATACTAAATTCCTGGGCGTAAACATAAATGAAAATCTAAAATGATACATTTGAGATCTGATCATCAAATACAAATTAGCTTGTCTCTACCAAAAGCACTGTTTGGTCTAAGGGTGGTTTTTAAGACTTCGGGTTTGCATGCAGCTCTTGCTGTGTATCATTCTTATTTTATGTCTAGGTCTTCCTATGGTATTATCTCATGGGGCAGCTCCCCCATTACCAGGAATATTTTTATCTTAAAAAAAAAATTGCCGTTTGAATTTTAGCTGATACCAGACCACGTTCCTCTTGCCGCCCCCTTTTTATTCAACTGTGTATCTTTGTAAAAAGAAATTATAAGGAATTTCTGTTGAAAAATTACACTCATCAATATAACACCCGACACAGGAATGATCTTCAATATCCTGTGCATAGAACAGCTCTGTATGAAGGATCGCCTTGGTACATAAGTAGGAAAATTTACAATAACCTCCCAGATCAAATTAAAACTGAAGAAAGTATGCCATCCTTAAAAAGAAAATAAAAATTTTATCTCATTCTCTTGTGTCCTTATTCCCTAGATGATTAAATAAAAACTTAGCTTTAGGTTTTATGGATTGATAAAAAACAAAGAATTTAGCATAAGGTATTATTAGTTAGTAAAGTAGTATTGACATGTCATATGTTTATATGTGAAAATCACAATCTTGTAAACTTATGTGACGAATAAACATTTCATTTCATTTCATTTCAGTTTGTTTGCGTTTATGATCCATACCTGGTCTTTTTTAGTATTCGTGGACAGAACCAAACAAAGCCTGTCACGACAGGCACCGCTGATGAGTCACCCGCATGGATCTCTATCAAAATCAGGTGATCTACGGTCAGCTGAGTTAACAGGTGACCGGGTAGTGGCCAGTGGGGGAGAGGCTGGGGCCCTGTTTTTGAAATGGCTGGCTGTTGAGTTGAGTGCTAAGTCACTCACTTTCCAATCGTTTCGTATTTTTCAAACGATTGACGGTTGACTTATCCAACCAAAACTACCTATCGAGCTGTTGATTGGACGGTTGACTGCACTTTCTTCTTCCTCTTTTGACAAAAATTGCTGTTTTTGAGTTAACGCCATATTGTTTATTGCTTTAATTTACTAAGTGTGATTTTTGATTAGAGGTTATGTATTTGTTGTCAATGTCATAGCACCCAATACTTTATGCAATTGTTTTCTGCATTTTTATTTTATTTACTGTGTCAATACTAGACTATCAAATCAAGGGTTTTCTTCTATGTTTGCAATACTTTGAAATAGACCAGGCCTACTAATTGAACTTATTATAAGATAATTGTTATTATGATTTATTAAAAGATTGTGGTAAAGAGAAACAATGCCATAGTTTGTTTCAATACCATAATTCACCTAATAAAGGGATCAAATTTATTTAAGTTATGGTATGCTTTCAGTGCAATGGCAAATAAATATCCATTAAAGATTTAACTCTAAACACAAACACAATGAAACAAAACGATGAAGGGAACTAAAATAAGGTGATTTTTTCTTAAATAGAGACGAAGAAAGCAAATAATTTATTATAGGTATACCTATAATGAGCTAAAGCCTAAAACAAGCTTCCATAGTTAATTTTATTTTTATTAACTGTTGGATTTCAAAAATACCAAATCCTGTTGTTGGTTGAGTTGAGTGTTGATGATTGACTCAACTGTCAACCATTTTTTAAATAGGGCCCTTGGTCTGGTCCGAGTGTGTGTCGCCCAGGCGGCAGGCGCACAGCTACAGCTCCTAGCCTGATGCAACACAACCACACGGACAATATACATCGTTGGGTGATTGTGGTGGCGTTTCGTTAACAATTTTGTTAATTAAAAGATGAAACTTCAGTAGAATTGGCAGAATAAAAGTATCTACCAACACATTGTGTTAAAAAAAAAATTGCCAGGAGAGAAAAACATCCGTAAACAAAGGATTGGTTTTCAGGAGAAAAGGGTATCTCAACCTCGCGGGCCCCTAAACTTTGCGGGCCCCTAAACTTTGCGGGCCCCTAAACTTTACGGGCCCCTAAGCCTCGCGGGCCCCCCCCGCATCGCAGTGTCTGCAGGGCCAGCTGTTACGCCACTGCACTGCTCACTGATTATTTTTTAAATATGGCAAATACTCACTTGTTTGGAAAAAATTTGAAGAATCTTTGACACTCTCATGCCATTTTCAACAACTCTAAACTGGATAAAAATACAGGGCAAACAATCTGGATTGTCCTCTTGAGATGGTTTGGCAAAATCCCATGACATTTCTTCAAACTTAAGTCCTAGTAGCAATATCTGGAAAACAATTCAATAATTTTATTAAAACTTGTCCTACAACCTTCGACAATAAAAAAAGAATACACCTGCAGACTAAGCAAATTTCCATTTGCCTGATTTGATTTTTGATTAAATCTATTTCAATAACATTATGTTTAATGAATACCTAGGTTTGCTGCTACAGGGAGGGTAATAAAGTAAATTTGTTAAGTAAAACATTAATAGCTTAGCAAAAATAAATATATTTGCCAAGTTTTATCAAAATATATCTATAAAGAAGCAAAATACAACAGTTTACTTATTCTCATGGTGAGGTAGCCTCTGGATCACTAAATTTAAGCGAAACGGTTTATGTTACTTGGCTTCGTCAAGTGATCCTGCTTCAGTCATGACTCATCTTCCGGCGTCGCTACATGTGTCCCTCGTGATTAATTACAATGGCCAGTTTTTACAGTATTATATTCGTTTTTGTGTTTTTTCCTGTTCGTGTGTGTGTTCTAAGTGTAACGACGGATCCAACCAAATTGGTTAGATGACTTATTGATGTTTTTGTTCTACCTGAAGATGGACTTTTAAGCAGTAAACTACTGAAGCAGGATCACTTGACGAAGCCAGGTAACATAAACCATTTTCATTTATTCTCCATAAAGACAACATGGGAATTTTAAATTTACAATTTTTTGAGATTTCTTCGTTAACTAAAAACCATATAGAAACACTTTAATATCCTAAATAATTTGTTTTTTAAGCTCTTCAAAATGGTCTAGAGAGAAACTAAGAAATTTTATGTTTTGAGGGTCAAAAACGAGAAACACCGAATAATACCCCATAAATCCCCCAAAAACCCCATCACGTTTTCCCTGCGCAACCAGTTAACCAAATAGCAAAATACCCCCGCCGCAGCAAACCTGCAGACTAAGCGAATTTCCATTTGCCTGATTGGATTTACACTAAAATGTCTCCTTAAAAATATCACATTTATTTATTCCCTATTTAAATAACATTAGTTTAACGAGTACTTAGGTCTGCTGCAACAGGGAGGGTAAAGGGTGTTTTTTTGTAAAATTTAATAGTTTAGTATGACATTAATGCATTTTCCAAATTTGATCAAAATATGTTCATAAACAAGCAAACTACAACACTTTACTTATTCATAAGAACGAGAGGTCGTCCAGTGGTCGAAACTCGACCAAAATTATGTAATGTACTCAATTCTCTATTTTCACCCCACACTGTAAATAAAACACGTGATTGGAGTTTCTTCCATTTGTTTTGATTTTCTGTTTATATTTCGTTGTTATTTCGTCACCAGCATGGCAACGCATAAGATCCATGTTAATTTTTTCAAATTTTTAAACTCATTTTTTGTGCTTATCTTTGAGCCTATTTAAATTTACAAAGGGATTCTGCACACCTACAGGATAATTGCTTTCTAACGGTATGCGCAGATTTACCCCACGATGCACACAAGCTGAGAAAAAAGGTTTTAAAGAAACATGCTTGCCTATTAATATATAGATAGATAAAATGGGAATTTTAAATGGACAGATTTTTGGAATTTTCTCCGTAACCATTAGGCGCATATACTATTACTAAACGCTCATTAACACTTCAATATACTAAATTATTTGTTTTTTTAAGCGCTACAAAATGGTTTGGAAAGAAATTGCTAAGTTTTAAGTTTTTAGGGTAAAAAATGGGAAAAACCAATTTTTACCCCATAAAATCCCCCATAAACCCCTGTTCCCATAGTCCGATCATGCTGGTTCGCGAACTCGTTTGAAAAAACGTAGGTTTACACGTTTGTACCAAATTTCATAAAAATCGGATGACTTTTGCTCGAGTTATCGCGCTTAAGGACACATATATAAATATATATATACAGGGTGTTTGTGAACTCTCTCGAAAAAATTCACAGGATTATTCCTTGGGTTAATACATGAATATTTTACATTATAAACATGGGTCGCCGGAGCCTCGTTTTCTGTCTGTCTGTCTGTATGTGTTTTTTATAAATAACTTTATAACTCGAGTTTGAATCGAGGTACAAACTTTAAATTTGACACACTTGTGTATTTTACCGTGTTAAACAAACAAGCAAAATTTCATTTCGTTGACTGTAGCCGTTTCAAAATGGCGGCCATCTAAAATCTTTGACCTCAAATTACATGAAAACCACTAGAGTTACAAAAAAAACACAAGAATAACAAAATGTGGGAAATTTTATGCCAAATCAAATGACACCTAGATCTTAAAGATCGGGCTATAAACAGCTGAGTTATAAACTTTTTAAATAATTAATAATTTCTTTACTGGCTTTTAATTGTTATTGTTTATTCTTTAAAATCATCTGATACAGAGTACATTACGTAACCTTAAACAGATTTCAATAGTTAAGGTAAAAATAGGACACTTAATACATTTACCATCTAGTAAAAAACTAAATGTTGTTGTTAGGGCAAACCAGCTGTCTTACATTGTTGTAACAATTTAGAAATGATCAGATGATTTTAAAGAATAGACAATAACAATTAAAATCCAGTAAAGAAATTATTAATTATTAAAAAAATTAATAACTCAAAATAATCATGTGATCATCATCTCAAAATCATATGTCCAACCAGCTGTCTTACATTGTTGTGACAATTTAGAAAGGATCAGATGATTTTAAAGAATAAACAATAACAATTAAAAGCCAGTAAAGAAATTATTAATTATTTAAAACGTTTATAACTCAGCTGTTTGTTGTCCGATCTTTAAGATCTAGGTGTCATTTGATTTGGCATAAAATTTCCCACATTTTGTTATTCTTGTGTTTTTTTTGTAACTCTAGTGGTTTTCATGTAATTTGAGGTCAAAGATTTTAGATGGCCGCCATTTTGAAACGGCTACAGTCAACGAAATGAAATTTTGCATGTTTGTTTAACACGGTAAAATACACAAGTGTGTCAAATTTAAAGTTTGTACCTCGATTCAAACTCGAGTTATAAAGTTATTTATAAAAAACACATACAGACAGACAGACAGAAAACGAGGCTCCGGCGACCCATGTTTATAATGTAAAATATTCATGTATTAACCCAAGGAATAATCCTGTGAATTTTTTTGATAGAGTTCACAAACACCCTGTATAATAAGTATGATTGTGATTAGGGCTACTACTATATAAATAATTGAAAACATTATAAAATCATTAGTACCCTTTTAAATTCATTTTTAATTAATAAACGACAAATGTAAATGATTGTATTTGTAAATGTAAACATGACTATGACCTAAGTGTCGAAACATGTTGTTTATTAATTAAAAATGAATTTAAAAGGGTACTAATGTTTTTATAATGTTTTCAATTATTTATCTAATATATAAAATTCTCGTGTCACAGTGTTTGTCTGCAAACTCCTCCGGAACGACTTCACCGATCGTTATGAAATTTGGTGTGTAAATTCTGTAGGTATGCGAATAGGAAATAAACTATTTCCCGTTTCGAAATTCTTAAAAGGGCTCCGCCCCAGTGGCTCTGGAGTTTCCCATGTTAACCTTATGAGAAATGGAATTAATGAATCTTAACAGCTGTTTCAATTAAACAAGTTGGTTCTGTTCTATGATGTTCAATAGCATTAAAGTTACAAGGATTACCAACAGGGTGCAGCACTATTATTTCTTTTACATTTATGACAACAGCTAATTTGCAACCAAAAGGTGAGTGAGCGTAGCGAACGAACTTCAACCTGGAGGCGAGTTAGCGTAGCGAACGAGCTAACCTGAAGGCAAGTGAGCGCAGCGAACGAGCTCCAACCTAAAGGTGAGTGAGCGTAGCGAACGAGCTCCAACCCAAAGGTGAGTGAGCGTAGCGAACGAACTTCAACCAGGACGTGATTGAGCGATGCGAACGAGATCATCTTGAAACCTGAAGGCAAGTGAGCGCAGCGAACGAGCTCCAACCTAAAGGTGAGTGAGCGTAGCGAACGAGCTCCAACCCAAAGGTGAGTGAGCGTAGCGAACGAACTTCAACCAGGACGTGATTGAGCGATGCGAACGAGATCATCTTGAAAATTAAACGTAACGGTACTTTCTTTCCATCGGTCTGTCTTAGGGGAAACCTATAACTTAGGCGATACGAAGTTCGCCGGGTCAGCTAGTATATATATATAAATGAATTTGAACGGATGGTGTTTTTGGTCTCTAGGGACCTCAAAACGAAAAAGTAAATTGGTCCCGGGTCCAGGTCTTACCATGAGTACTACGGTAATAGCTTATTCCCTATAGGGGAAATTCGCTAATATTCCCTATAGGGGAAATTCACTAAAAGAACTTTAAGTATTGTTTCGTAAAAGAATCCCTTAGTGTTTATAAATGGTGTCCCAATAAGAACGCCGGATTTTAAATGTTAATAAACCATATATTTTCATGCTAAATTTACAATATGAAACATGAATCTTAAAGCCTAGTATCTCCGATTAGTAATGACATAATATTATTATGTCTTGTACGTGCCCACCTGCTGCCTGCTGACAAGCCCGACACCTCGTGGCAAAGTTTTCCATCACTTTTTCATACACTCCCTGTTGAATTCCATTAATGGCACGAATAATTTCCTACTTCACGTCTTGGATTGTTTAAGGATTATTGGCGAAAACGAGCGACTTTAAATGTACCCAAAGAAAGTAGTCGCACGTTGTTAAATCGTACGATCTTTCTGAGATGAATGTGTGCTTCATAGCTGAACAGCAAAGTTTCTAAAAACATGTCATTTTCATCTTGATTTCCAACCAACCAGTTTACAAATTCAATTCGTTTTACGAGATATCTTGGCTTGATCTCTTGTGTGAGTTGAATTTTGTAAGGGAATATGTGAAGGTATTTCACCAAAATGCTTTGTACTGTGCTCCGAGCTAGGCCTAACTCCTTACTACGCCGACGAATATATGTTCAACTTGCGTTGTCCTCTTCACTATTATGTACAGCCTCAATATTTTCAATGAAGTGATCTGCCCGACTTCGAATTGGTCTTTTAA